ATGGCAAAAGATATATCTGGTCTACTGGCTGTGAGATATAATAACGATCCAATAATTCCTCTATATTTGGTTTGATCAACCTCTTTACCTTCGTTGTCGATATCCATTCTCAACGAGGTATTCATAGGAATTTTTATTGAAGATTTTCATCTATTCCATACTTCTTGATCAAATCTTTTGTATATTTGGCTTGATTTATGAAAATTCCATCAGAACATTGCTTCACTTGCAACCCAAGAAAATAACCGAGTTCACCCATCATACTCATTTCAAATTTTCCTTTCATGAGATTAGAAAATTTCTCGCATAGATATGAGTTCGTGCTACCAAATATGATATCATCAACATATATCTGAACTAGAAGGATATGTTCTTCAACCTTAATACGAAAGAGGGCCTTATCCCCCAGTCCTTTCGTGAATCCACAATTGATTAGGAAATACGAGAGAGTATCATACCACGCTCTTGGTGCTTGCTTAAGTCCATATAATGCCTTTTTCAAACGATAGACCTTATCATGTCCAGTCTCAGATTGGAAACTAGATGGTTGTTCAACATAAACTTCCTCTTCAAGAAGTCCATTTAGAAATGCACTTTTGACGTCCATCTGGAACAATTTGAACTCCTTATATGCAGCATAGGCTAGAAATATGCGTATAGCCTCTAATCGTGCAACTGGAGCAAAGGTTTCATCAAAATCTATACCTTCCTCCTGACAGTAGCCTTTTGCCACAAGGCGAGCTTTGTTCATAATGATGATTCCTTCTTACTCATTTTGTTTTTGAAAACCCACTTGGTTCCGATAACATTTTGGTGAGAGGGTCTAGAAACTAGCTCTCATACATCATTTCTCTCAAATTGATGAAGTTTTTCTTGCATGGCAGTAACCCAATCGGAGTCACTTAGAGCTTCTTCAACTGTCTTCGGCTCAATTTGAGATAGAAAACATGCCCTCATGCATTCATGAACTGATGTCCGAGTTCTTACTCCATCTCGAATGTCTCCAATAACTTGTTCTGGAGGATGGTCTCTTAGCCATCTTAAATCTGGTTGAAGGGCTGTTGGTGGAGCTTGATCATCTACTTCATGGATGTTGGATGTTCCTTCATTATTCAAAGGTTCGGGTTGAACTCGTGGGACCGGCTCAGTAGCTGCCACTGTCTCGGTAACTCGCTCAGTGACAAGTTCGGGTTGATATCTCTGATAAGGCACTAAGAAATCTTCTGGGTCAGAATCTTCATCATATAGATTTCCAGTTCTGTAGTATTGCTAGGTTCAGCCTGCATACTCAAATTCTTCATAGCGTTGGATAGGCTATTGACTGAATCCTTTTCCTTTCTTTCGTCAAATTTCACATGAATGGATTCCTCTATCACTATAGGTCTCTTGTTAAGAACTCTAAATAGTTTGCTTACTGATGAGTATCCCATGAACAATCCTTCGTCAGCTCGTTCATCAAAAGTCTTTAGGTGATTCTTTCCATTATTATGGGTGAAGCGTTTGCTTCCAAAGATATGGAAATAGCCTACTACAGGTTTCTTTCCTTTCCATAACTCGTAGGGTGTCAACCCATGAGCTTTGTTGATTAATGACCGATTCTGAGTATAGCATGTTGTGTTGATTGCTTCAGCCCAAAATCATTTTGGTAAGCCAGCATGAGCAATCATAGTTTGAGATGCTTCTTTGAGAGTTCTGTTTATTCTTTCGGCAACTCCATTTTGCTTTGGAGTTCTTGCGGCCGAAAGTTGATGAAAAATACCATTCTGTCCACAAAACTCTGAGATAACCTTATTCACAAATTCGGTGCCCTGATTTGATCTTATTCTGATAATGCTAGCTTCCTTATCATTCTGTAACTGTCTCAATAATTCCGATAACATCTTCTCTGTTTCGTTCTTTCTTCTTAAAAAGAGAGTCCAGGTATATTTCGTGTAGTCATCTACTACCACGAGAGTATGCTTTCGTCCACTTAACCTTACTGGATCTACTGGACCGAACAAATTCATGTGTAGAAGACTTAAAGGTCTTGAGTTCATATCTATGGACTTTGACTTGAACGAAGATTTAATCTGTTTGCCTTTCTAACAAGAATCACCGATTTTGTCCTTGATATAGGTTACTTTCGGTAGACCTTCTACTAAGCCTCCTTTTGCCAATTTGTTGATAGTCTTGTGATTCAAATGATTCAGCTTTTTATGTCATTCCCAACTTAGATCAACATTGCTTCTGGCATCAGACAAACATTCGACTTAGTTGATTCCCATGCAACAACATACATGTTTTTCTTCCTTTTGGCAGTCAGGACAACGTCACTAGTCTCCATACTGATCACACATCACTTATCCTTAGAGAATTCAACTTTGTAGCCTTTATCGCAAAATTGGCTCGTACTCAGTAAGTTGAATTTCAGTCCTTCAATGTATGATACATCACGAATGATTAATCCATTTTCGATGATATCTCCCATCCCTCGGGTCTTTCCACTGGATTCTCCTCCAAATACTACTTTAGGGCCATCAAATTCTCAATAATTGCTGAGATTTGATTTGTTTCCTGTCATGTGTCTCGAGCAACCACTATCTACATACCAAATGACCCTGTTGACCTGAAATAAAAAAGTATATAGTTTTAGGTACACATACCTTCTCGGGTCCTTCGGGGTTAACGGTTAGTTTCAGGATCCAGACAAACTTAGAGTTAGTGTTACTCATCCTTGGTCCTTTGTACCCATTAAACACGCGATAATCGTAAGGGATATTTTGAAAAGTTTTGGTTTGCTTGTATCATCTTTTAAGATAGGTTTCAGGTAGATTGCGATACTGTCTAGAATAGAACGTCTATTTATGTCTGTGAACCTTTTCGACCTACGCTTTCGTCATAGGTTTTGGAAACATAAACCAGTCCTCTTCAGATGGAAATAACCATCCCGCGCCTCTCATTGGTCTTCTAGATGACCTCTGAGGCTTTGCATGCCCGTTGTTTGTTCGTCCATTGGGATGGCGAAATTGCCTATGAATAACTTTCGGGTTATCTTTCAATTGGTTATTTCTTTTTAGCTGACATATTTGTGATATAAGCTTGGTCTATTCACTTTAGGTCCATTTCGATTGACATTTTTTACATGTCTTCGATTGCCATTTGAAAAATTCCCTTTTGTAGGTTCCACAACACGTTGTACAGTTTTTCCTTTCGGATGACTTGTTGTTTGTGGTGCTTTCCCTTTATCATTCTGCGTCATTGGCTCGGGATGCTGGGTTGGACCTTTAACGAACACAGATTTTAGACCTCCACTGGTAGAAGGATCCGTGGGTTTAGTCATAAGAACTTCTGATGGAGAGCTTGGGTCGTAGCCAAGTCTGGCTCTTTCCCTAGATGGTCTAGGATCATTTACCATTCGATCTATTATCTTAGATGAATTTGTAAACGATGCTATGACCGCACGCAAATTTTTCTCTCTTATTTCTCTTGATTTACACTCCTCTGTAAGAAGACGAACTTGGTTTTCGAACTGGTCAATATTGTTTGTCAACTCAATGTTTTTGAGTTTAATGCTTTTAAGCTATTTACATTCGACCAAGAGTCGAGAATTCTCTTCCTTTATTTTAGAGTATGTGATTTTCACAACCTTGAAGTCCCTCATCAGTTTCATAACCGAATCAGCGGAACTTTCTTCGCTTCCTGAGCTAGATTCAACTTGGGTGGATGAAGAAGATTGAGAATTTACCTCTTCATCTTTCGTTATCAGACACAGGTTGTCGTCACTTTCTTCATGGCTGTATAGAACGAGAAGTCCCTTCTCGTCTTCAGAGTTTTCACTTCCTGAACTCGAGCTTGACGTGCTTAGTTCAGGTTTATCCTTTTCGTTAGCTTCATCGACAACCATGACCTTTCTTCTCCTATCATTTTTGCAATGATTTGTTTCGTGACTTGTATTCTTTCTGCTTGTTTCGGCCTTGTCATTTTGGTTGTTTGGAGTGCTTGTGCTTGGTTCTTGGACTGCTGGGTTTGGACAATTTTTCTTAAAATGTCCTGGCTTTCTACAGTTGTAGCACAACATTTGTGCCTCCTCTGGTTCATGCTTCTTAATGTGAGAGGATCTCTCGGTATGCTTTCGACCAGAGGAACTTGGTGATGCTTGGAACTCTTGGAAGTTGTTCTTTCGTACAAACCTTCTAAATTTTCTCACAAACAAAGCACATTGTTCATCAGATAAAAATTCAGAAGGGTTAGAGTTCAACCTACTAGATGTGGCTGGTTGCTGATTTGCAATGAGAGCTATATTTCTTGTTTCTGGTTCTTCAATGCTCTTGGGTGCGTGCTCAAACTCATATGCTTTTAAATCACTGAAAATTTGAGTGGTTTGAACAGTCTTCAAATCTCGATGGTCTCTCATGGCTGTCGTCACCTTCATTTCCCATGCTTTTGGGCGCCCACGCAAGATCTTTAGGTTGATCTCTTTCTGGGTTGGTTCCTTTCCTAAATTAGAGATCTTGCTCAGTAGCTTCGTGAACTGAAACTCCATCTGATTTATTGTCTCATTTGGGTTCATCCCGAAATCCTCGAACGGCTTCATAGCAACTGTGAGCTTATTTTCCTTCTCTTGCTCATCTCCTTCGCCTAAGTTCATGAGAGTATCCCAAATCTCTTTTGCAGTCTTACATCTCCTTACTCTCAGAAACAACGACTCATCCAGAGATTTATACAGAATGTCTCATGCAACGTTATCAAGGTTCGCTCGCGTTCTTTATTCTATAATGAGTTGAGACTTTGGTTTCGGAATCATCTAATCAACGTTTGCACCTTGAACTGCTGCATGTGGATTGACTATCATAATAACGATAAGACCATCAGTTATCACGTCCCACATTTCGTCATGAATTGCTGAGAGATGTGCCTGCATTCGCACTTTCCAATCATCAAATTTAGCCTGATTAAAGGCAAGAGGTCTAGATCTATGACCATGATCATTGACATTTTGGGGAATTTTTATTATTTGAAGCAAAAATGAGGGGCTTTTGTAACAATTTCCAGTCTTGGACAGAAACCATTACCCTAAGCCCATACACCATCTCCCTCCTGCGCTTCTTTCACCATCGATCACCTTCAGGTAATCTCTCTCTTGCTCAATTTTTTTTTTTTTCCTGTTTTTATCCTTCTTTTTTTTTTTTTTTAATTTTTTTTTTTTTTGGAGACAAATATGGAGCAAAGATTGGTTAATACATGGCGGATGACTGTGAATGAGAAGAAGTTTATCGAAACTGCATTGCTTTCCGACCTCAGAGTCGACGGACGGCGCCCTTTCGATTACCGGAAGCTCAATATCAAGTTTGGTAGGTACGATTTTTTTTCAATTCCATTTGCTTTTTGTTTATTCAGTGTGTATGTAATGTAACTGTTCGTTAGCTTGTAGCTTATTGTTCTATGCTACTATGATTTAATGGCCTCGCAATCGTTGGTTTGTTATCTTCATATATGTACTATGAACTTGCTATTGTTTCGCATAAACCTGATTTGCCAAACTTATACAGAGCAGTAGTTTACTGCACATGCAGAATTCGAAAAATGTAATGTGTGACAGAGGAAGTTGCACGCCTGCTTTCGGATAAAGCCATAAAGGTTCCTAGTTCTGAAGTGGGGTGAATCGTACATGCTTAATCACCTGAACCTGAGTTTTGAAAAATGAAAAAGAGAAAAAAAAACAAATTTTAAGTACTCGATGAGGACATTAATCTAGTGTGTATTTTTCTCATGGGACTCTATTACCAAATTTCAAATTGGTGAGGGTTCGTCATTTTACTTTAAAGAGTAAAATGTTGTCATTTCTAGTGTATGTTTCTCAGTGAAGTGGAATAGGTGGAATAGGTGGAAGTTGAGTTTGCTTAGAAGAGGGTTAAACATTTGAATTCAAGAATGTGTAGGCAGTGAAACATTGAGCCACTGCATGTATCACCTTGTCTAGTTCAGATTTTTCCCCCTCCAATAACCAGTAGCAGTCTACAGTGGGTTGTCTAGAATAATCTAGAGGGAGCATTTTTTTCAAGATGAAATTACCAGTTCGGATATTTTCAGAAAGCTATATTTGTTATTGAATATGAATTTCTCAAAAAGTTACGAGAATGGAGGGATTTAAGGAATTCAGAAGGACAGTGATTTTGGGATAAAACTTTGACTGAATTAGTATAATTGACTGGTGTAATATACATTTTGATTTCCTCTACTTTATTTTTCTTGAACTCTTAAAATTTACAACTAAGAATATAATTAGTGCTCCATGTGACTAATTTACTTGATCTTGAATATAAGAATACTAGTAAATCTACTGAAATTGATTTGATAGTATAGTTTTCTGAAGAGTGTTTCTTATTGTGTTCCATTCTGTCTTTAAAATATATGGAATTTTATATTCCTTCTACTTCATGATTAAAGTTATAGCCTTCAGAATGTGATGAATGTGCAGAGAAGATGGCTCATCAGAGGTGCAGCTGGGTCAAACTCATGTTATGGGTTTTGTGTCTTCACAACTAGTGCAACCTTATCGAGACAGGCCAAACGAGGGGAGCCTTGCAATCTATACTGAGTTTTCTCCTATGGCTGATCCTTCATTTGAGGCAGGTCGTCCTGGAGAGTCTGCTATTGAGTTGGGACGCGTAATTGATCGCGGTCTAAGGTGTTTATTTAAATCTTCTGTTTAAGAAGCAAGATTGATCTTTGATAGAAATAATATTGACATATTGTTTTCCAAACAGTCTGGTAGTGAGAATATTGTTTGTTATGCAAATTAGTTTTAAGTTTCAAGAGCATTTCTATGTTGACAATTTACAAATTTTATAAAATTCTGAATGTGTGAACTATAGAAGGATAAAGGTTTCTAAGGGAAAGAAGATTTTATTTGCACAAGAAAATAACTTTAAGAGGCAATTGAAATTTAAGAGGCAAAAGTTTGAGAGTTTTGATTTCAGGTTTTCAAAACTGCAATTGAAATTTATGAGGCATATGCATTGAAAATGCTCTGAGAGGGTGTTAAGAATGACTACTTAGCTGACAGTGGAAAACTGTAATTGCAGGGAAAGCAGAGCTGTGGACACTGAATCTCTCTGTGTTGTAGCTGGGAAGTGGGTTTGGTCTATCCGTATTGATCTCCAAATTTTAGACAATGGAGGGTGAGTTATTATGTTTTCATGTCTCCATCAATCAATAACTAATATAATAGTCCGACTTAACATCAGTAAAACTGAAGGTGTCTTTCCCATTTTTGTGAGACTAGGAATCTTGTTGATGCTGCCAACATTGCAGCCTTAGCTGCTCTCTCAACATTTCGGAGGCCTGATTGTACACTTGGAGGCGAGGATGGACAGGAAATTATTTTGCATCCACCTGAGGTCTGCGGGTTTGTTATGATTCTCTCAAATACATTATTTATATTTCTCTTGGTGGAAGTCTTGACTTCATTTTAATTACTGTGGAAGCAAACGATCTATATATAACACTGTTAATTATGTATTATTCTAGAAGTAACAGATTTTTTTGGTAATTTCTCCTGTTTCTCCCTTTGTTTCACGTTGAAAGCTCTTATACTGATGTACATTTTTGGTTCCACTACTATTATCTCTGAAAGATCTGATTTATATCATTCTTCCATCAGTACTATTTTAGTTTGGTTGATATGCTTTATGAGATTCAACTGTTGAATTGTGTGGCTTTTGCATTTGTGGACAGGTTAGGGAACCACTTCCCTTGATCATACATCATATGCCTATAGCGGTGACCTTCGCATTTATTGGAAAGGAGAATATAGTGGTAAGCTTAGTTAAAAGACCATATTTTTACCTAATGGTGTGCCTTTTATACAGGCCTATTCACTCAATGTGTACTTATGTTTAAATGTGTTTCATGCGTAGGTGGTAGATCCAACTCATTTTGAAGAGGCTGTAATGGGAGGAAGAATGACAGCTACTGTTAATGCAAATAGTGATGTCTGTGCCATTCAAAAGGCAGGAGGAGATGGTGTGATGCAGAGTGTTATAATGCAGTGCCTTCGCATTGCTTCAGTGAAGGCTGGTGATATAACAAGCAAGATAAAGAATGCTGTGAGTGCTAATCTTGTGACAAGACATGTTTTCCTTGCATTATGCCTTTTAAGTGCTTTATTATGGAGTCTTTGTGATTCAGAATCACCCTTAAATCAATTTTTAAGGATCAAGGAAAACTCTAATATAAAATTGCTATTATAATAATGTGTTTAATGGAATTGGATGGTCCTTAGATCTTTAGAACTTAGTGGATTTGGATGGCTCTTGGACCTCTAATAAATACCTTATCGTTAATGGTTGCTCTATGGATTAACACATTACATTTCATTCATGGCTATGAAACCAGTAGATGTCTTTCTGTTGGTGAAAGTGAAGATCCTCTTGTCAAATGGATTAAGCTTTTTGTATTAAAACCAAGCTGTTAATGCACAGGTTGAATCATACAGCACGGAAAGAGCTCTTAGAAAAATCAAAAGACACACGCCTGCTACTGCCGCAATTGATATTCCTGACCCTGGTCATGGGGAAGTCAGTGATTTTTCCATGCAGACAATGGATATACAAAGAGTAAAATCAGAGGATTGCTGTGTCAGTCATAGTGATGACATGGATGTTGAAACACAATCTTCTAAGCCAGATGGAAATAACAGGGGAGTTGGGAAATATCAGAAATTTTCAGGCAGACCATCAAGTTGGTAGGTTTTTTTTTTTGTTTTTTTTTTTTTTTGTTTTGTTTTGTTTTTTAAAATCTCATTATATGCTTTATTATTTAACAATATATGCACGTGTTTGTGTTAATTACGTGTTTCAATATTGTATACATCTCTTGCCAGACCAAGTCTTCTTGTTATGAATTAAGTTCTTAGAAGGATAATAAACTGAACTAACAAGTTAGAAAAAGCACCTCTCAGTAAGAAAGACGAGATTTTGCTTTTGAAAAGCATTTATTATCACACTTCGTGACAAAGAAAAATGGAGTATGCTTATTAATTATTAAATGTACCTTCTCTTTTGCCAATTCTTACTTTTTTTGCATTACTACATTTCAGGGATCCATATTCAACAGGTGTTAACATAGAAGAATTGAAATTTACTCTTACTTTACATGGTGAGCATTTATTATTTGCCCTTCATCTGTTTGGTACACAATGATGTTTCTTTGGAAAATGATGTGTTCCATGGCTTGTAAGACTAGATATGTGATAATATTCTAGATTTTTTTCTTCATATGGAAAAAATGGTGAGATAACTTGTAGATTTGGCCATTTGCATGACTGCATCAAAATGAAACAATTATAGTAAGTTTTGTGTAGTTGAGCCTCATCCAGGTTAGTAGGTACATTTATAATGCATGTACTAATTGGAAAATTTCTCCATTTTTCTGGAGATATGGAAAATTGGAGAAAGTAAAATAGAGAATACGTTTACTTGTACATTTCTCCAGTTTGGAATATAGAGAATGGAGAACAGAGAACTAAGAAATGAAGTAAACACAACAATTTTAGTACTTCTTAATCAATGGAACTGAATAGTATTGCCCACTACCCCAAAAATCATTACTAGATATGGATCTTTTGATAGAGTCAGTCAACTGAATGATAGTGATGTTAAGCATAAAGAGGAGCTATTCCTACCCAATAGGCTTGCATGGAAAGATTTTATCTTATAATACAGTGATATTGGTGTGAGTGATGATGAATTGGTGATTGTTGGTGTGAGTGATGGTGAATTGGTGATTGTTGCTACTTAAACTGTTGAATATTAGGAAACCTTTGTTGAATATTAGGAAATTCCTAGTAGGAGTGGGCTTAGTTTCCTATTCCTATTAGGCTTGATTTAGTCCCCATGTTCCTATAAATATAGGATCCTTATATAGATAGAAGTATAGAGTACACAGAGAGACAATCTATTGTAATCTTTCATTATAATATATTCTTTCTATTTTCTTTGGTTTCTCACATATTTATTTCGCCTAACTGGCGGATGGTTGTTATTCTCCATTCGCTAGGCCTTTCAATCCCTCAATTTCAACATGGTATCAGAGCCTACTTTCCTAGGCTATTTTTCTTCCAATTTTTCTGGCAACACCTATTTTTCTGCTTCCTATTTTTCAGCGTAAGCAGAAACCCACAATTGGCTCTTGAATTCCGATGTGTCTATGATGGTTTACTTCAAGATCTACCACCACAGTCACACTCGGAATCACATCGTGACCTTGCCCAAGAAATGCCGGTGTCATCCACTGCAGCACGCGCTGTCACAATTACCTAATCTCCGTTTGGCTTTACTCAGATCTCCTCTTCTTTGGTGATTTTGTGATCTCACCTCTTACACCGTTGGATTCCTCTCCTCTTTGCGACATTATCTAGAAAATTTCGTCGTCATCCTGCACCGTCTTCGGCATCACACGCCTATAAGCGGGTTCTCCTATGATGTATTTTTGTCAGTGAAAATTTTCCAGATTGTTGTTTTGCCCTTCTTTGGACCTTTTCTGGCGAAATTTGAAGGCTTTTTGGGTTTGTTGCCAAACTTCTTTCCAATGTGTTTTGGCATAACCGTGTTTGTTTCTTTATCTCCGTTATGCCATATTTATTCCAAGGGTGTTCAATTTCAGCACTACTATATTTTATTTCTAAAGGCCTTTGATTATTTCCATGTTTCAAGTAAGGGGGAGTGTGACTATCTACAATCAAACGGTGTTCTATTTTACTTATTTTACTTTGTTTTCTTGGTGTTCAACTTTACTCTTATTCTCATCGATGCCATTTAGTGTGTTATCTTCATCACAGTTCTTTTGGTTTATCTTCATTACTATGGGCTCTACTGCATCCTTTGCTATTCTTTGCTCCCTTTCGCCTCTACCACTCTTGATGAAGGCTTTTTTGGCATGTCCTAGAGTGTTTATGTTGTGTTATCTTGAGGCTGTTCATGTTCAACTCTATCCTTGGTGCATTTATCTTCATTCCCAAGGATCATGTTCAGCTCTGTCCTTGGTGTGTTCATCTTCATTCCCAAGATCGTGTTCAGCTCCGTCCTTGGTGTGTTCATCTTCATTCCCAAGATCGTGTTCAGCTCCGTTCTTGGTGCATTTGTCTTCATTCCCAAGGAAGGGTCAGGCGTAACGCCATCTCTTTTGAAGCCATCTATCCTCTAGCTGCATTTAATCTTCATTTGTAATTTTGAGTGAGGTAGAGTGCTTGTTTTAATCCAAGCTGGGAACCTCTAGATGTTCCAGCTTGCGGGGCAGTTGAATATTAGGAAACCTTTGTTGAATTTTAGGAAACTCCTAGTAGGAGTGGGCTTAGCTTCCTATTCCTATTAGGCTTGATTTAGTCCTCATGTTCCTATAAATATAGGATCCTTATATAGATAGAAGTAGTATAGAGTACACAGAGGGACAATCTATTGTAATCTTTCATTATAATATATTCTTTCTATTCTCTTTTTCTTTGGTTTCTCACATATTTTGCTTCCGCTAACTGGCGGATGGTTGTTAGTTGGCCTTTCAATCCCTCAATTTCAACATAAACATTTTATCTACAACCCTACCCCCACCCTCTCCAAAAAAAAAAAACACTGTTGTACACTTGTACTATGGTGATCAGAAGTTTGGAGTATTATTTTCTTTGGCTTGGTCAATTTGGGGATTGTCAAGTATGAGATTTCTGTACTAATCCATTGTTTCAGTTGCAATCTAAATAGTGTGTGAAATCTTTTCATATTTTCTCTGCTAATTTCTAGGTTTAATTTAGTGTGATGTACATATAATTTGGAAGCAATTGTAGATTTATAGAAATTGACTAGTTAAATTGCATTTAAAATGTGCAGGCTCTTCAGCTCTCTGTGAGAAGCCATATGAAACTGAAACAGTGCATGAGAAGCCTTGTGATACAGAATCTGGACAACGTTCTGCAGATGTTAATCCAGCACCTTTAATAGCTGTGACAACTGGAAATGAAATACCAACTAACAGAGTGAAAACTTTAAAGGATGCTATAAAGCCTAAGCACAAGCGAAAAAAGAAGCCAGCCACGAATGCTGATGCAAGCTAGAGGACATAAGCCAGTTTATCTTTTCAAGGTTCGTATTAATTTTACCTCATTTTTCACGTCAAATATTGCTGAAGCTAGAGTAGGATGACCTATTTAGTATATATATATTTTTTAATGGTGATTTTCTCTGCTAATTTCTAGGTTTAATTGTGTGCTTCTTGGCACACCCAAACCCCGTCACTTCAAATGGGAGTGGAAATGTCTCTGAGGAACGCAAAGCTCTTAACTGGTTTAAGATATCAACCAAAGCAGTAGAAGAATTCTGTGAATTAATATGCTCGGGATACAAGGAAGTTGCTCTGATTAAACTCTGTGAAAGTCCAAATAGAGGGCTGCAATCGTCTGCCTTGGTTGTGTTACCTTAGCATCTTGTTCCAGGCTTCTTTCAGATTGTATGGTTATTAACCACGTCGCTGAAACTCGGACAAATATTGTGGTTTTGCCCATTTTCGTGTTGGCGAACAGACAGGTTCATAAAGCTGTTGCAAGTATTGCAAGTGTGTTTTTTGCAGGAAGTAAGTGCATGATAAAGAACGTAATCAGTAATCAGTGGATAGTGTACACACATAAGAAGGAAAATCAGTACAAGAATGGTAATAATTAATCAATCAACCTAAATCATGTAGCAATTACAATCACGGCATTTTACCAGGAAAGTCTGGAATTATTGATTAGCATGATTGTTGCTTACCTATTACATTCCTTGTAATAGAGTATAAATGGAGACCTTCCCCTAGGAAGGAAGGCATCCAATAAGTTCTAAAAATAATAGCTCTAGCAGCTGGGCAAGAAATCTTTCTTGCAAGAGGAACCTCATGGTCCCTTGTTTTTCTCCTTTTGAAATCTGATTTTCAGATTGTCTTTTCCCTTACCTTTTTATACCTCGTTGTTTCCAACCCTTTACTCTAACAGTGCATGTGTAAAATGTTGTAGTTTAGCGACTTAGTCTTTGACGATTGAAGAGATGCTGCTATAATTGTATTTCTTCTGCATTTGGTTTTTCTTTTCCTTACCGTGGATGATAAATGTTTGATGTGATTATTTTTGTCAAATTGTTTATGATGATTTTTAATGGAAAATTAGACTCACCATAAATTGGATAATAAAGAGAATGTTGTAAAATTGGATATATCCTCGCGTGAACAAATATAACAATATACGGTAAAATAGAGAAAGAAGACAACATGTACATAGAGAAACATTTTTTTTTTTTTAATTATTCATCCTTCAATCCAATATATACAATATATTTCTAGTATAATTATAAATCTTTAAAAGATGAAGAGGTATTATCATAATATAATATCTCTAGTGATGTCGACATATAATTATTTACAATACTTCCCTTTTACTATACCATACTCAAAAAACATACCCCTTTTACTATGCCATACCAAAAAAAAAAAAAAAAAAAAAAAAAAAAAAAAAAACTAGTGATGAGGAAAAAAAAGTACATGATATGTGAAAATTATGTCAAAAACTCAATTAAAGGAAAAAGAGTACAACTCTGTCTTCAAGACTCAATTGCCAGGATTGATTCAAGTGAATGTTATTCCCGTTGCAGATAACAATCTTCAAAGTCTATACGTTCTAATATAATAAAAATATTTACAAAATAAATGTAGAAAAGGAATTTGGTGCAATCTTCAAGATTTCCATTAGAGTGAAGATTCTGTATCATAATCTCACGACTTTTCTAGAGCTCACGTGAATTGAATATTGACGCTATATATTTTGTCAAATATTCCTAAACATAACTATTTATCATCTGTGCAACACCAACTTCATTGTCTTCATATAGGACATTGGAGGTAAAGCTATAGCATAATCAATTTGAGACTTGACATCATGGGGATCAAGCAAAATAGCTAGTACCCAAGTGGTATTAAAAACATATATTGGTCTATCGCATAAATGTCAAAATATTTTATAACTTGAAGATACCAGAGGATATGTTAAACACAATTCCAATATTTCATTGTAGAAGGAACACTAAATGTTGCTAGCAATTTCAACGCAAATATCAGGCATGTTGTGATTATAGAACACTACAAGAAAATTCACGAATCGCGACGAAAAGTCGCGACAGATATTAATCCGTCACAATCTAGCGACAGATATTGCGACAGAATAGATTCCGTTGCAAATTTACGACGGAAACGGTGACGGAAATTAATTCCGTCGCTATTTTTGGCTCAAAGAGAAAATAAAATCTACGAAATCTTGGCGGCAAAATATTCACGACAGAATTTGTGAAAGATTTAAGTTACGTCATCCATATAGTGACGGAAAAGGCAACGAAATTACTTTCCGTCTCTAAATAGCGACACAAATTGCAACTGATTCTGTTACGTCATGAAGGAAGCATTTTTTTTTTTTTTTTACATTAAGTAAATATTGCGACGGAATTGATTCCGTCATAATTTTTTAAAAGTTTTATTTCTCTCTATTCTTAAACGACATCGGTTTTTTAATCAAAATAGTAAAAGACTTAAAACGGCAGATTGAGTCACGCAGCCACCCGAGCCCTAACCCTCTTTTCCCTAATCTCTATATGTCGCCTCTTTCCTCAGATAGAAACACAGACGCCAACCGCACCATCGCGATCAGCACAGGCGCACCTCCATGACTGCCTACCACGACCAGTCAACCATGACCAAGGCCCATCACAGCCGACATCCCACTCACCTCGACCACGACGGTGACCTTCTCCGGTTCAACGACGTAGCAAGTCAGCATACGTGAACCACCAGCCAGGCAGCCACCAGGTAATTTATTTTATTTCCATGAATTTAATTAATTTTATTTAATTGCTGATGTTTTTATTCGGCTAGTGAGTAGTGTGTTAGGAACATTTTGATGATACGAAACGTTAGGAATTTAGACCCCCAAATCTTTTATTTTCTAGACTTAGTCTATTCTGCTAGAATAAAACTAAATGGTACCTTGAGTAGTTAAACTGTGTTCATCCAAATGGACACTCGAGGAGATAGTCTTAAACAAAGAATCGTAGAGTAACCTGAGTGGTTAACTAACGAGTCGAAGATTAACCCGAGGGGTTATCTTTAATAACTTGAGAAGTAGAGTAACCCGAGTGGTTATTCCTAGTCCGAGACAGAAGATTGAAGACGAAGACTAAAGATTCGGAGAGCAAAGAGTATCATGATCGAAAGGCTGCAAAGACCGAAGGATGGAAGTGTAACACCCCCGTTTTCTAACACTAGAGCCTAGATAGGTTACAAGCTTACACATCATAATAAACAGAAAGGATCCTAATAAATTAAGGTAAAACTAGAATCCATAACCGCTAACGGGGAATGTTACCGCCACAACTACCTATCCTCGGATAATTACTACGGCTAAAGACCACAAGATAACATTTGCATACCAGGACTATGTGGTTCAATGGTATCCGGGTTGGACTTCCACTTGGAAGGTTGTGAGTTCGAGCCTCAGTGGAGGTGTTATTAGCTCTTTGTGTTTCAATAGGTTGAGAAAGTATATGAACAGATACTACAATGTAATAGAGCTAGTAGCATTCAAAAAAAAAAAAAAAAAAAAAAAAAGATAACATTTGCATGCTTAAAAAGAAAAAAACAAGGGATTCTACAACCCAGATGAAAAAAAAAAAAAGATAACATTTGCATGCTTAAAAAGAAAAAAACAAGGGATTCTACAACCCAGATGTCTAAGCATTAAACAGTTCTAAAATAATAACCAGGAAACGCTATCGCTCTCAACATGCATCATGCCAAACCTGAAAAGGGTATTTAAAACACAAGGAAAAACAACCCGTTAGCATAAACATGCTAAGTATAAACCACTCAACCCCGTAAAATAAGTATATATAAACCATTCATCTTTTGACGCTTTGACCGCCTGATGAAAGAGCCAGCCATGGAGACTCCGCGATTGCACATACGATGCGAAAGGGCGAGCCAGCAACCGGAGAAACATCGTGTGCGACAGAGATGAAAGGCTGGAATGTTTTGTGAAGAGCTATACTATTGAGATTCCTGATCCGGCTACAACACAGTGTGCACAAGGCGGTATTCAAAATTAGTAATTAATGAGTTAATACCCAAAATGGTCCCTCGACTATGCCATAATTACCAATTTGGTCCTCAACTACCATTCTTACCCAATTAAGTCCTCAACTATGTAACTTTTACTCAATTAAGTCCTCAACTATACAATTCTTACCCAATTTAGTCCTCAACTATACAATTCTTACCCAATTTAGTCCTCTGTATTAATTTGACTGTTTGTTGACTGTCAAAAGTCGGGATAAAATTATAATTTGACAAGATTTCTCCTTCCTCTCCATTTAGCAGCGCCAAACCATGCAGCAATACACTTCGATTAGATTTCGATCGTCAAAAAATCGTTGGAAATCAAATTCATGAGCTATCCGATGCATAACCACTACTTCGATACTGACAGGTTTAGAACCCAACCGGAGCTTATTGCTACATGGTTTGGCGCTGCTAAATAAGGAGGAAGGAGAAAACTTGTAAAATTACAACTTTATTTCCACTTTTGACAGTCAACAAACAGTCAAATTGACAAAGGACTAAATTGGGTAAAAATTGTATAGTTGAGGACTTAATTGGGTAAGAATGATAGTCGAGGATCAAATTGGCAATTACGACATAGTCGAGGGACTATTTTGGGTATTAACTCTTAATTAATGAATATGTGAAATTACATCACAGCCCCTAAACCTATTTAGTTTCAACGCATAACACTTCAAATCACCCTCAAATCTGATACGTTAAATTAAAAAAATGAATGATCAAGATCTAATCTCACGATCTCACCTAATTGGGATGGTCTCACTAGATCCAAATTCCATATATATATATATATATATATATATATATATATATATATATATATATATATTACTCCCTACATATTATGATTTCATTTGTAGGTTAAAAATTTACAAACTGACTTATGAGAAAATCTGGAAAAAATTTACAATTGTTATCCAAAGGTATAGCAAATTATTCACACAGCTGTGTGGACCACTTTCCAAAACGACGTCGTGGAATTTTACGAGTTAGAATAATGTACATTATGAGTTAGAATAATTTAATTGAGCAAATACCAATTTTGGTCCCACGAGTATTAGCAAAATGACGGTTTTGGTCCACATGTTTAATTCCTACCAATTTTCATCCACGACTATTGTTTTAGTACCAATTTGAATCCACGACTATTAATTTAGTACCAAAATTCATCACGTCGGTCACCCATCTATTTAAGCCATCTCAAAATCTAAAAATTTTAAGGGCATTTTCATCCTTTTCAACTTAAGATTCCAATTTGAGCATAAATAAATGAATTTAAGTTCTAAGATCGATCCTAATTCGCAGTTCTCCTCCTCATCCTACATTAATTTGAGGAGGAAAACTGCTAATTGGGATAGATCTTAGGGCTTAAATCCCTTTATTCATGCTCAAATAGGGATCCTAATTTGAAAAGCATGAAACTACCCTTAATAATTTCATATTCCGGTATGACTTAAACGAAAGGGTGACCGACGTGATGAATTTTGGCACTAAAATAATAGTTGTGGATAAAAATTGGTACTAAAACAATAGTCGTGGATGAAAATTGGTAAAAATTAAACATGTGGACCAAAATTGTCATTTTACTAATACTCATGGGACCAAAATTGGTATTTGCTCTAATTTAATTTATCTGTTAGAATAATGTACTTTATGTGTTAGAATAATGTAGCATTATGTGTTAGAATAATGAAACTTCTGGGGTAAGATAATGTACTTTATGAGTTAGAATAATGTACATTATGAGTTAAAATAATGTACATTATGTGTTAGAAGAACGTATTTTATGTGTTAGAATAATGTAGCATTATGTGTTAGAATAATGTATTACACTTTAGAATAATGTACACTATATTTTAAAATAATATACTTTATGAGTTATAAAAATGTATGTTGCAGTGGGTCGCGTAAAAATAAAAATAAAAATTACCGTAAAACGATGTCGTTTTTGAACCGTGGACCACATAGCTAACCACAATCCACACAATAACTATTGCCAAAGGTATACTCTAGGTAAAACTCGCATTATAACCCTCATAACTGACAAATGACCACTGGTAAACCAACTTAAGTCGTCCATAACTAAGAAGACCAATATTGCCATAGAGTCAAACGTGAGATATTGTAATTACCAAGTCAACTACCCAACCAACTATCATATATTAATATGCCCATCATGTCAAACAAGAACTAATATCCCCTAACCAAACTTGCTCTTAGTAGGAACAAACTCCCTAATCTCATGTCAAATGATCTCACATTTTGCCAATTTGACAGTAATGATATTTGTGTAAAAACACTTCTCCAACTTTATACTTGTCGGTTTAGAAGCTGAACAAAATAACAAAAAACTACAGAGATCGCTCCACAATGTGGATCTTCCCTTCGTTTTTTTTTTTTTTTTTTTGTTATTTTTTTCCAAAGATATATTTATAACAATCCTAGACAAGTTACAAATATCCAAAAACTGTTTGTAAGTTACTTCCCATCACAGTCTACAAGCAGCAGCAACTTTGCCGCCTCCTACAGCAGAGAATAGAATGATTTTAGTCCAAAGTACTAGTAGACTACACCTTCGAAAAGCAGCTAAGTCTCAAAACTGTGATGGAAAGCCCTCTTTGACATATATTACAAATTCCAGCTCCCAAATCAATTTGAACAGCAATTGTCTTTGTGCATGGTCTTTGTGCGTCAGAGTTCTTCTGAGATGGCTACATAAGATTCAGTCACTGTCTTCTTCATGATCTGTCTTGGAAAGGGAAAATGATGATCAAATCACTAAACAAAGTATATACATACACAATCACCCATTTCTCTCACAAATCAATAATGTCAGTTTTTTATGTTGTTGCATGCAAATGATACATACAATTTTATATGAAATTTCTGGAAGCAGACTATGATGGACAAGAAAAAGCAAAGCATAAGCAGTCACCTCAATCCAGCACAAAGTAAATTATACTCTGCCTAGAAGAATCTCAACTAGCATATGAGAAACAAGAGAACCAAATAGATAAGGCGTAGCAGAGGCGTACCTTCATTTATCTCATCAATCTGAGAACCATCACCATCTTCCTCAGTATCACTGTCATCACTTGAATCCTCTTTGTCACTATCTTCAGCATCACTCTTGTCATCTTTAACAGGTGACTTGGGTTTTGGAGGAGGCACAAAGCTGGTCGTTGACCTTCTTCGTGTACTTGAAACAATGTTGCTGAGGTCAATTCCTTCTAGTTCTTTAGCTCTTTCTTTTTTCTTTTTTACTTCTTTAATTTCTGTTGCAGATACATTGCACCACATAGACAAGAAAATTAATAGACAGGAAAGAAAAGAAAAAAATAAAGTCATATAAGCCATTGAACTTTTATGAAAACAGCAATTAAACTATCGTGGGGGGGGGGGGGGGGGGGGGGGGGAAGCTCCAAATTAATGTCTGAATTTGAGGGGGAAAAAAAAGTGCAATTGAGCTCATTTTACCTCCTTTAGCAAGTTGGAATCAGGTCATAGCTTATTGGTATGCCATGTCAAATTTTCCTTATTGAATTGGACACCAACTCGTCTATTCACTACTGATTTGGATGTCAACTTATTTTACTACTACTACTACTACTACTATTATTATTAAAGATGACAGTTGGCAGATACTGGAGTTGTCTAAAATTTCACCACCCATCATCCACCGACAACAAAGAAGGATTAGACGGATGGACTGAAAAGATGACTGCCAAACGAGATGGACGGAGAAGATGAAAGAGGTGACCGGTCACATATTAATCCAGAGGTCTGGTCAAAGGAAAGCTGTCTGTCTAGGCCTCTGGGCAAAGAGAAATTTTCTGTCTAGACAGATTTGGACAACGGAGAGGAGATAGTATTTATTCTCTCTGTAGTCCAGATCTATCTGGCAGAGAGAATCAAAACTCTTTGCCCAAACAAAAATAAAGAGAGATTGGTTTGGATCCCCAAGATTTCGCAATCGATGCCAAATCTTTGAAGGCGAGGTTGACATGGCCACTGAGCAGACTTATCTTCTTCAATGATTATGATGATTATTATTTGTCTAAACTGGTAAGTATAATCTGATGTGGCATCCTAATTAACTATGACCCTATGGAAACTTGCTATAGGAGGTAAAATGGGCTAAATTGCACTTATTTCTCAAGTTCATACAGTAATTTAGAGCCTTTCTAAGTTCAATTGTTTAATTGCTGTTTTCATAAAAGTTCAAATGTGACCCTTATCCCAAGAAAAAATCATATAGTAAATGTGTATGTGTATCATGAGCATTACCTTTCTCAGAAGGATTACTTGACAGCCCTTCTCTTGAGAGTATGTCTTCTAACTCCTTACTTAAGAATTCCTCACGTTCATCTTCTGGAACCTGCTTAGCTTTCTTGTAAATGGAAGGAGGAATGCTGTGGAGAGGTACAAGTGGTAAGAATATTGGGTGTAAACATGGGAAAATCTGATATGATGATTAAGGGAATATCTTTATTATTATAACTGATTTATTATCTTTACTATTAGAATTGATTTATTTCCTTTAGAGATAGCAAATAATTAGGGTAAGGATCTTTAGTGATTCTCCTTTCCTTTTTATGTTTTTGCTAGTCTTCCTTTCCTTTTTATGTTTTACTAGTCTTTGTAACCCTCTTATATAAAGGGGATTTTCATTCTAATAAAAGGACAAGCAAGAAAGAAGTTAAGTTAAAATCAAGAGGTGGGAAAACTCTCAAAACGTTCCTATTATCTTTGTTCCTTATATTTATCTCTCAACATAGACAACCCCAATAACCCTACTCGCCCTTTGACGCGTGCTTTCACCCGAAAACATAACATTTTGGTTCCGTTGCCGGGCGTCAATATGGGCGATATCAAGAAACTCCAGGACGAGGTCCGAGCTATCCAGGCATCCATCGAAAAACTGGAACACCTTCCTGCAGCTGTGGACTCTCTAACCGAAACAGTAACCAATCTCTCCCAGATGGTGCACTCTTTCTTCACATCGCAGGCCACCACTTCCACAACTGTGGCAGCCTCTCATGGCAACCAAGCCACTCCGGAGACTGCACTGCCGCAGCCAGCTGCTCCCATTCCGGCTACACGATTCACCAGATTGGAGTTCCCCACTTTTGATGGCAAAGGGGACCCTCTTGTTTGGCTCCATCGCTGTGAGTTGTTCTTTGATAAATCACCGCATTCTGATCATGAGAAGGTTACCACAGCAGCGTATTATCTGTTCGATAGCGCCCAACTGTGGTACAAACGTCGCATGCAGGATGGTCAACAATTTTCTTGGAATCAATTCAAAGGTGCATGCACCCTCCGTTTTGGACCACCCCGGAGCATCAACCCGTTAGGTGAACTGGCAAACCTCAAACAACATGGTCGGGATTTAGACGAATTCATAGATGATTTCCAGACCCTCCTCGCTAGAGCTGACAACGTCCTTTATTCTCAACAAGTCAATCTGTTCACAGCCGGCCTTGATGAGGTTCTACGTATAGATGTTGAAAGGATGCGGCCAGTTTCTCTTGATGAGGCCATTAACATAGCACGAGATTATGCTCGTAAAGGCCTCCTGCTTCACAATGCACCTCCCCGACAAACTTTCCCATCCCAAACACCCCCTAGTTGCGCCATAACAGTGCACCAACAGCCACAATCACGCCCTCAGTTCCATAAACTCTCCCCGACAGAAATGATAGAGCGCCAAAAGCGTGGCCTCTGCTATAATTGTGATGAACCATGGGTAAAGGGCCATCGTTGCAAACAACAACTATACATGCTTGGCTTTAATGGCGAAGGGGACGATGAGCCAATTGACGCAACGACCCCAGACTAATCAATTCCCACTTTTCTAGATTTCAAGCTTGAGGACAAGCTTGATGTCCAAGAGGGGAGTAATGATATGATGATTAAGGGAATATCTTTATTATTATAACTGATTTATTATCTTTACTATTAGAATTGATTTATTTCCTTTAGAGATAGCAAATAATTAGGGTAAGGATCTTTAGTGATTCTCCTTTCCTTTTTATGTTTTTGCTAGTCTTCCTTTCCTTTTTATGTTTTACTAGTCTTTGTAACCCTCTTATATAAAGGGGATTTTCATTCTAATAAAAGGACAAGCAAGAAAGAAGTTAAGTTAAAATCAAGAGGTGGGAAAACTCTCAAAACGTTCCTATTATCTTTGTTCCTTATATTTATCTCTCAACATAGACAACCCCAATAACCCTACTCGCCCTTTGACGCGTGCTTTCACCCGAAAACATAACAAAATCCTTGACAAACAAAAAGTCAAGAGAAAACCTCATTCCACAAGCTTTGATTATTGATTTCAAATTTTCTACATGTTCTCCGTATCCAGCTGCTGGCGTGGCTTTCTTCTGCATTTCATAAAGACATTGTTGTAAGGATTTATATTTGCACCGGAGCAAACACAGATGTTAATAGCCTGATCAGAAGCAGCCTAACCCTTGCAGGTTTTGCAGCAGTTGACGGAGATTTACAATCTTCAGACTCACTCCTATCACTTTCTGCATCATTACTTTCAGATGACTTCTTCACAACCTTCTGTTTCTTGTTAGGGACATCAGATTTCATTTCAGAACTTTTACGTTTCTTAGGGCCTTCAGATTTCTCATTCTTCCCTTTTGGAACAGCTTTCTTAACTGATCCAGGTCCGGGATCCCCCTTATCACTTTCACTGTCTAAAGAGTCAGAAGTTCCTTTAGCAATAATCTTCTTTGCTGGTTTAGTTTGCTTCTCAGATGTCTTCTTAATACTGCTTTTAGATTTTGGTGATTCAGAAGTCAATGCCTGGTGGGCAAAAGAGCAGATGAAAAATATATATTAATAGCAGCATCGAAAGTCAATAAACTTCTCTTTTATTTCTCCTTTTTTCCTGGGAGCTGGGGTTAAGAATTTACCCACCTTATCTATTTCTTCCTTTATGAACTTCTTGAAAGGATCAAGAGTACCTTTTTCAAGGCCCATTTCCTCCTCCAAATATCGACGAACACTGGCCAGAGTCATTGTCCTTAAAACAAGCAAGCCAATCACAATTACTGGAAAATATTGAAATATGTTGATGGAACTGGATAACTATCTATTATGTATAAATGATTAAACATATTTTGAGTAAAAAAAAGTAAACAAGAGAAGAAATACAAATGAAGGAATAGAACAGTGCATAAAGATGAATGAGAGGGTTTCAGTTGAACCCAAAATTCCAGAATATCAGACTCTAATTTGTGTAGGATCCAAAGAACTTCACTGAAATTTGACCTTTATTTTAGTAGCTATCAGGGCAACAAAATTCCTTTTGATGGTATGGAGGCGAGGAGGGGCAGGGGTTATAGTGATGCAACTATGGAAGGTAAATCACACTAGAAAATATTAAGGTACATACTCAGCATTAGCCCTAATATAGGCAGCGCTTTCCCGAATGGCCTTCTTTATTGAGCTTTCACTAGCCTTTGCATCTTGAGCATCCACCAAACGAGGTTTGGACTCCAAGACACCCATTATAGGAGAGTCATCTAATTTCTTCTCATCTTCAGCTCCAGAATCTTTTACATCTTTCTTTATCTTGTGCTCTTCAGGTGATTTTTCCACTTCACAGTCAGTTAAACAAGTTTCTTTCTTCACACTTTCTTTGGAATCTTTTGTAGTGTTATTATCTTCATTGGCACTCTCCATACCTTCTTTGGAATCTTTTGTAGTATTATCTTCATTGGCACTCTCCATACTTTCTTTGGAATCTTTTGTAGTATTATCTTCATTGGCACTCTCCATATGCTAGCATGTAGAACACAACATAAAATAAGTTTCTGTTATCTGACAAGAAGAGGACAAGGATGAAGGATGCGGATAGCATGAGCTTGCTCCTTGGGTTTATTTTTCGTAGAAACTGCTAATTGGTCAAAATTGAAAAACATTACCAGCCCCCTCAATTACAGGAAATTTGATTCTTTAATCCCCAAAGTGCAATTATTACAATAACTACCCTTAACCCTCCCTCAATGTATGAATATAGTGCACAATTACCTATAGTATACATGAAAGGGAAAGATTGATCTAAATTACCATAAGAATATACATCACACATTGGTTTTACAAATCAGGCATTATCTAAAGCTTACCACAAGCAATATTTCAAGCTGTGAAATTAAAATATGACAAAAATACTTGTCCATTAATAAATTCAAAAAAATTAAAGTCTGTGTCCAGTTCAAGGATTTGAGTTTGCGTATGTAATACTGACGGATGAAATATCAAACCCAATAGGATTACCTCCTCTAGGAACTGCTTAATGAATCTTTTATGTATATCTATGGCATACTTGTCAATGTCCAAGTCTTTCTCGATTAACCTACGAACTCTTTCCAACGTGAAGGAGCTGCATCCAACAAGAAAAATCAGAAAATCAGCAGTAAAAACACTAGTACTGAGATGTTTACATTAAGGTGCTGATACAAGTACTAAAAAACAAGTTAGCGGCAAAGGATTAGAGAGAAAAATTAGCAACCAAAACAATCAGCAACCGAGAAGAAAAGACACTGCAGAAACACTAATAGACAGCGTAGAACCCTAGACGACCAGTAATCTTCATTGTTCGTCGAAAGTATTATGTGGTGTGTACATAGAAAGAGAAAGTGAACATACTTGGCATTCTCCTTTAAGTGTTCGAGGCGAGAGCGCAGTGCAGCCTCTATCTGAGACTCGTCAATCCCCTTCTTCAGCTCCTGTTTCACGTCCTCCTCCACCATCTCCGTCTTCATTACCCTACTCTCTCTCTCTCTCTCTCTCTCGGCAATACCTCAATTCAATTGCAGCTTATGGGCTTTTTCCGGTAGCAAATGACATAGAGTCGGACCATTTTTCAAATCGGGTCCTCATTTTGTAGCAAATGATTTTTACGAAATTATTAGATTCGAAGAATTAATTTTACTTTTACCAATAAATGATACGGAGTAAATTAAAAGAAAAAAAAAAAAGACGCAAGGAGGCCGGAGACAAATCAGACGGCAAATTATGCCCTGGACCCGTGTCCACAGTGAATTGTGGACACGGGCCCAAAACGACGTCGTTTTTTAAAAAAAACGCGTCATTTAGTAAAAAAAAAATCGCGCGCGTTTTGCCGTTAACGGTGTTATTTTTTTTTTTTGATTATGAATGTACAGTTATGCCATTATGAATGTACAGTTATGCCGTTATGAATGTACAGTTATGCAATTATGAAATTATGAACACAGAGCTCTAACATTATGAACTTACAATTATGAACATATATAGTGATAAAATTATGACCATGGAGCTTTAAAATTGTGAATATAGAGCTTCGAAGATTATGAATGTACAGTTATGGAGTTATGAATCTACAGTTATGGAGTTATGAATCTACAGTTATGGAATTATGAATGTACAGTTATTGATCGAATTGTGAACAAAGAGCTCTAACATTATGAACTTACAATTATGAACATATAGTGATAAAATTATGGACATAGAGCTCTAAAATTGTGAACATAGAGCTTCGAAAATTATGAATGTACAATTATAGAGTTATGAATGTACAGTTATGGATTATAAATGTACAGTTATGGAGTTATGAATGTACAGTTATAGAGTTATGAACGTACAATTATGGAGTTATGAATGTACAGTTATTAATAATATAGTAATAAAATTATGAATATATACTCCTATAACAAAGCGGTCTGAAATTAAAAAAAAAAAAAAAAAAAAAAAAAAAAAAAAAAAAAAAAGAAGAAGAAGAAGAAGATAACAATGCCTAACGGCACTGTTACCCGTGTCCAGCAAGTATGCTGGACATGGGTCCAACGCATAACGATTGAAATCAGACAATGGCACAAAGATGCATAAAATCATGGAGCATTATTGCGTGGATCACGGTCCAAAACGATACGAAGTACATTATTCTAAAGTATAAAAGTACATTACTTCAATTCATAAAATAAATTTTTATAACTCATAAAGTACATTATTCTAAGAGTTAATGTCATATGAGGTCTTCTGAGTATACTAATTTTACTACATTTATTTCTGAACTTTCAAATTGACCATCCGTAGTCTTTTGACTTTCAAATTATTGTCATCCGTGGTCTAAGTTAACCATCCATTGTCATTTAACTTTCAAAATTTAAACATCGCTGGATAAAATTTAATAATTGAAGAACCATAGATTGCTAACTTGGACCACTAATGGTAACAATTTGAAAGTTGAAGGACCACAGAGGGTCAATTTCAAAGTTTAGGACTAAACATGACAAAATTACTATACTCGAAAGACCAATATGGTATTAACTCTTATTCTATAGCACATAAAATACATTATTCTAACTCATAAAATAAATTATCTTACCCAAAAAGTTTCATTCTAGCATATAAAGTACATTATTCTAACAAATAAAATATATTATCTTAACCCAAAAATTCATTATTCTAACGCAAACAGGGGCAGCAGACACTATTATTGACTAACGAAATTTTTATTTTTAACGCCAAAATAACGTCGTTGTACATTGTGGTCCACACAATAATTTTTCTAAAACTAAAACACAACCCTAACAAGATGTTATAATAAAACCATAGTCTTAGGCTCCGCAAATTATGCCTTGGAAACATGTTCACCATGAATGGTGAACACGGGTTCAAACGGTGTCATTTTTATAGGGAAATTTTTTTTAGTTAATGTGCTGTTAACGGCGCACGTTTGTTTAGATTATGAATTTTCTATTATGAGGTTATGAATGTATTGTAAATTCATAATCTCATAACAGAAAATTCATAATCGCATAAAAGAAAAACATTTATTAAATTATGAATTTTCTGTTATGAGATTATGAATTTACAGTTATGTAATTATGAATTTTCTGTAAATTCATAATCTCATAAAAGAAAATTCATAATTCCATAAATGCACATTCATAAATCTATGCCTGCACATTCATAATCTATGAATGTTGAAGAAACTTGCGCGAAGAGTAAGGGTCCATTTGGAAAGCAGGAAAATGACTTCTGGAAAATGGTTTCTGGAAAATGAGTCATTTTCCGGAAAACATTTTCCTTTTCCAGTGTTTGGTTGCATTTGGAAAACTGTTTTGGTGTGTTTGGTTCATTTTCTGGAAAATGAGTAGAATGGTATAATTAAATATTTTAATTATTTTATTCTGAATAAAAAATACATTTTAAATCTTTAAAACAAAAAATAAAATAAAATAAAATAAAAAAATAAAATTATGGCTTCCGGCGGAACTGGTTTCCGCCAGAAACCATAGGACCCAGTTCCGCTAGAATCTTAAAAAAAAAAAAATGAAAGAGAAGTGGCGGAAAACGACTTCCGCCCAAATTTGGCGGAAGTCGTTTTCCGCCAAATTGAGCTCATTTTTCCCAGTCAACGGAAAATGTTTTCCGTTGACTGGATTTTTCAGGTGTAGCCAAACACCAAAAATCCGGAAAATGACTTCCAGCCTAAGTCATTTTCCGGGTTTCCAAACACAGCCTAAGTGAAACCGCAAAAGGTGAAAGTGAAGAAGAAAAATCGCGCAGTTAAATTAAAAAAAAATGATAACGGTGCACCATTACCGTTGGGACCGTGTTCACCATGGATGGTGAACACGGTTCCATGGCATAACGATTGCTTAGACTCTTAGTAGGGTTGGCCCATTATGTCATTCTTCAATCATTATTGTGTGGATCATGGTTCACACAAGTTTTGTGGACCATATTTTGTATACTGTAAAATAATGTACATTCAGTATAAAAATAATGTACTTTTAGTATATTAAAAATGTACATTGTATTCAGGGATGTACATTATTTGTGTACTGAGTGTACATTATATAATATAATGTACATTCAATACACAAATAATGTACATTTAGTATATTAAAAATGTACTTTTTGTTATGGTCCACACAGCAATGTGTGAACCATGGTCCACACAATAATTTGTTGTCCTTCTCGAACACGGCAAATTATATTATGCACCGCGGTGCATAATCGATTATGCACCGCGCGTCTTTTTTTTTTTTAAATGAAAATTAACAGTGTTTATTTCCGCCGTTTCGCACCCTTTTACAAAAAGTAACTCTGTTATTCAGTGTCATTTTGTATACACTGCAGTTTCAGTTGAACACAACTACAGTTTCATTTCGATATAACTATAGTTTCATTCGATATTTTATAGACTCAAATATGTGAAAATGTTATTTAATTTTATTTTATATACACTATAGTTTTATTAAAACACAATTACATGATCTTTTTGATATAATTACAGCTTCATTGTACAATATACACTCAAATATGTGAAATGTTATTCAGTTTCAGTTTATATACACTGCAGTTTCATTTCACTATAACTATAGTATCATTTTGATATAACTGCAGTGTCGGTTTGGATATACTGTAGTGTCAGTTGGTGTTTAATACACCAAACAAACGGACTCCGTTAACTCTAACGGCGGGCCGTTTCTTTACTTAAAGAAACGGCGCCGTATATGAGCCGCGGTGCATAATCGATTATGCACCGTGGTCTATAATATAACAACTGCTCGAACACTAACTCCTTAAATCTTTTTAAATGATTTTAAAAGAGCAAATACCAATTTTGGTCCCATGAGTATTAACACAATGACAGTTTTAATCCACATATTTAATTCATACCAATTTTCATCTACGATTATTGTTTTAGTACCAATTTCCATCCACGGTTATTATTTTAGTACCAAAATTTATCACGTCGGTCACCCCTCCATTTAAGAAATGCCGAAATCTAAAAATTTTAAAGGTATTTTCATTATTTTCAACTTAAAGACTCCAATTTGAGCACAAATAAAGCGATTTAAGCGCTAAAATTGATCAGAATTCTCAGTTCTCCTTATCATCCTACTTTAATTTGAGGAGGAGAACTACAAATTGTGATAGATCTTAGGACTTAAATCTCTTTTTTATGCTCATTTGGGATCTTAATTTGAAAATGACAAAAATACCTTTAATAATTTCATATTTCGGCATATCGTAAACGAAGAGGTGACCAACATGATGTGTTTTGACACTAAAACAATAGTCATGGATGAAAATTGGTACTAAAATAATAATTGTGAATGAAAATTGGTAAGAATTAAACATGTAGATTAAAACTGTCATTTTGTTAATACTTATGGGACTAAAATTAATATTTGTTTATTTTAAAATTATTTGAAATTAAGGATGTAATCAAGTCGAGTCAAGCCTTTAAAGTTCAACTTAAAAAAAAAAAAAAAAAAAAAAAAAAAAAAAAAAAAAAAAAAAAAAAAAACGTTAGCTCAACTCCAGTTTCGTAGGGCGCTATTCTTTTATTTTTACTCTTATTTTTTTGCTCAAAAAACACTTGACACACACATAAGAAATAACATGTATTCTTGTAAAAAATGTTGTTGGTTTTATGACTTTTGAGCAATCAATAGTTGACCAACATTATTGTTAAAATAATGAGTATATGAAAAATATAGAGAGAATAACTATTTTGTATTAATGAATATTGATTGTCCTTCTTCTCATGTATGAGAGTCTATTTATACAAGTTTGGGTTGTGAACCCTAAGAAATAAAAACTCTTAGACTGCCTCATATTGGGAATTGAAGGAATATGAAGGCCACTCCTAGTAGACTACAAATATGCCCAATTCTGCTAAATTCTTAAGTTGCTTCGTAGTGGATATCCTTCTTGCGCTCTCTTGGCCTAATTGTTTTCTTGGCCTGGTCCACGTGGCTCAAACCTTTTGGTTGACCGGTTCGACCGGTCAGTTTAATATACCATCAATCATCCAGTCCCCCACTTTCTTGAGATTTTGCAAAGTCG